TTGCACTTCACGATTTCATGAAATGATGCCGAATTCATGGTTAATTTATTTAGAGAATATTTTATTAATTAGTGTTCCAGCAACTAAGAAAAGTGCCAGCAAATGGGACCAGGCCGGTGGAAACTTCGATATATTTCCGATAAATATTATAGTCGGCACCTTTTCGTTCGTCATTCGCATGGTAATTCGTTCTGAATTACCTACAAATGGGGTAATTCGCTCTCAAAATTTTGTATGGCGAATTACGTAATTCGAAGGGTAATTGGATGGCGAATGACGAATGGGAGAGCGAATTACGAACCGTGGAAACGTCATATAAGACTGTTAGAAACTTTTATGAGTGTAGTTTAAAGAAGTTTGGAACGACGATAGTTGATACCTGCGCCGGGTATATAAAATTCGGTTAAAATATATCGCCAAACATTTGTGGGTACTTTTCCACCAGTCGTTGTCTATGGGTTAATGACAATTTCCTGAGATCAAGGTTGGCCGGTAACATACTATATTACTCAATTTCGGACAAATTGCCAGTTATGAGTTTTCAATGATTTACCGCGATGTCAGTTATGACTCAAAACTTATGAGTTTTCAATGTTTGACCATCGATAGGTCTATTGTGCCCACGGGTTGGAAGGAAAACGGTTAACCCTAACTTACAATAAACTTGCTGCACATATTCAAGGGAATCGGAAAAACTAGTCGATTTTTGTTGTTGCTTTATAAGAAGGCGCATAATAAGTAAACTATGCAAGTTGTTTTTTTCCGATTCCTACAAGTCAAGATACAAGCGAAGTTCTTTAAGAAAAAAACCAACCTTAACAAGTAAAAAAGTCTAAGTTAGGGCGGAGCCGAACATTAAATACCCGGCGCAAGTATTAAATATATGTTTTTTCACCTTTCCGAAACCTACCGCTAGATGGTAACCCGGGGTGTATCAATTTTGAGTAAATTAGCGTCCTTAAATTTCGAAATATTGAAGTTTCAAGCATTTCTGAAATTTACCGTTATATGAAAAGCGGCCGTAATTTTAGTCCGATTTCAATAATTTTCAACGTTTTGCTTATATGTGGCAAGCACAATAACC